CCCGGCTCAGTACTATCGCAGTCTGACCCTCGGCTCACAACTCTCATAATTTGGCATTTTCTTCCCCTCTTCCATCCTCCTTATACTACCTCGAGATACCAACTCCTATACTATAGATGATAACTACTTTTCCTGACTATTCATCCATTCTACCTGCTGAACCATCTTTTCAGCAATTATCTATCCCTGTTTACACTATACACTAGGTATCTATATTCTGAAAATAACTACTTATTCTACAAAACTCTACCAGAAAAACCTCTAGATTATCCAATATTGAATCTCATCATTCAAGAAAAGATAAAAACCACGATAGTGCTCAACCTAAAAGAAGAGTACTAATGAATCTAACTTGCAATCCTGGAGTTGGATAGCTTTGGAGTTGAAGTTCAATCACAAGTTACACTTGATTGATAAATCCTCAAAATTTGGATCTGGTGCCATCAAACTTCTCGGATAGGGTAACTCTTGGTTCTCTAACACTGGAAGGACGTTCCACTATAGGAGAAGGGACATGATTTGGTGCAGATATTGAAGCAACTCCAATCATTTCTATATCTTCACTTCCTGCCAATCTTGTTGCTCTTTGTGGTGGTAAATTGAATTGATGCATTGCAAGTATTAACTCCCTCAATTGCTCTTGCATTTGTGCCATTGCACTCTTCATTTCAGTAAGTTTTGCCATGATAACACTTAAAAAAGAGAAGATGTCTAATATCACTCAAGACAAATAGAAGAGAGGACTTGAGAAAAAAAAAATACTAAGGACAATATTAGTTTAGAAGAGAGTAATCCCCAACTTCTAATATGCTTGTATCTTATCAAGAAAAAAGGATAATCCACTCTTAATCAAGATAAGACAAAGCTCTGATATTGTAAGTGTACTCTTGTCAATCTGTCAAAGACAAGAACTTGATGAAAAGCAATTTAGACAAGTGAGCCTTCACTCAAAAAAAGGTAACAAAATATAAATACACAAGTTTGTATATTGAAAGAGAAATTGGAATGGCTATAGCCAAAGACTAGAAAACATGAAGACTCTTGAAACTAGACTAGAAGCAAGAAAGGAGTTGACAAGAGTGAAGAAGACTTCACTCTTGTTTCTATATATACTATCTAACTAGAGGCTACATGGCGACATTCTATAAGACCTCTTATATGTGTTGACTTTGTAGGACACATGCCTTGACTTACAATGCAAGTTATTCTACGTGTGGGCCACATAGTTAGCTTGGTCTTTAAGCTAACAACATGTGTGGCACATGGCCAACTTGTTGATGACGTTTCTAATCCAAAAAATCAATTAAAGACACCTATGAAGTCAAAGAAGCATATATGAAGCTTCTAGGAAGCTTTCATATCAAATATTATAGAATTAACTTACTTTTATCTATTTTTACTTACTTCTACCTATTTATATATGTAATTACTGGCTTACATGATTATGTCCGTAACACCTTCTTGCAATTTGGTAAAAATGAACACTTCCATATACTATGATCTTTTAAAAAATCCAATTCTTCTTTCATGGTATGACTCCACTCCTTACAAAGGGGTGAATCCATAGCTTGTTTAATAGTTTCTGATTCTACATATTGATCAATATAAACAACATCCACTATTTCAATTGGCAATTCATAATCTCTTAAAAAAAAATTATTGTTATTTTTTCAATGCATGCAACACATCCTACTACTACTTATGATATTTTTTGGATCAATCCCACCTATATTATAATGTCTTTGTAGTAAAACTTTACTGTATCTTACTAGTAATTGTTGTAAGTAGAAGGTGATTGTGAGTCCAAGTCACAAACTTGGCAAAAAATACCAAATATTGATGATCTAACTTAGCATTTTTTAGGAGTATTTGTACTCCTTCAAAAATAGTTCACATCAAATGGTCTACCATGCCAAGAATCTCATGTGTATATGTAAGAGTAATTATGTATCAATTGCCTTCAATCTTGAAGTAAGAACCAAACTTATAATTAAAAGATTTAATGTCTTTATTAGTGAAAAAAGGTTTCACCTTTCCTTTGGTTCTTATTTGTATCTCTCTTTTCCAAGTCTTATAAGTAACATATACCTACTCTATAGTTTGAGGAAATCTAAGACTATAATAACTAGAATATTTGTAAATTGACATAGCTAATCATTTGGCTCTATCAAAATTAGCTATATTAGAATAACCAAGGTCAAACACTATTCCATCTAAAATATCATTAACATGCTTGTGCTTATGAGGAAAAAATTACCTATAGGCTTTACCAAGAAGACACGATTTATATGTAGGTATCTTATCCTTCTCACCCTTGATCTTCAATCCTTCAACACTATTTTATTTGCTTTGCCTTTCATATAATATGCATTGAAACATGTACTAATGCTTGATGTCATTTAGTGAGTGTACGACTTGAAATAAATGAACTAGAAATTGATGCAATTTCTTCAATTTCACAATACATAAGTTAAGATTTACTATTGAATGTGCCTTATGTGAATATATTATCTAAAGAAAGAACCTAATTGACTCTATTATCATCCAAATTGATTTTGCAATCTTTCTTGCATAAGATTTTAACTAATAAGAGAATATTACATGCTCTAGGAATTCAATATATATCCTTTACAACTACACAATATAATTTCTTTTAGGATCTAAAATTGTAAAATTCATCTCATTTGAGCCTTGTAATTTGCTAATACTGCTATTGCAGCTTTGAAGTTGAATAGTTGCATTTTCATTAAAATTGAAGAATTTACTTTTGTTTCTTTGGATTTGTACATCTATTGCACTATCAATACAAATAAAATGACATAATTGAGACAACAATGCAATTATTATTTATAACTTACATGATGCTTCTTAGATTGAGAAAAGAACAACAATTTCAATATTTATTATACCATTGATGTTTATTCTAGGTTATCCTTGCCAATGGTCTTTTTGTCTACAAATCCTATAAGAGCTTTTAGACTTATCAATCTTGGATTTTTGCTTTTATCATGGATAGTGCTTTCTGAAGACTTACCTCTTTGCAAGATGCTATACTAAGGCAAAAAATAGAGAACTAATATTTTCTTTCATTTGCATCTCTTCTTCAAGAAGTATAGAATGCACTACTTTTTCCATGATTTCTTCTTATCTCTTTGATGCAATCAATTAAATAAATAGAACTTATAATTTTGACAATGTACTAAGTATAAAAAATGCCATGCTTTATTTGTCTATTTCACCATCAAATATAATGTATTGATCCCTAAGATAAAAAATCTCTTCAAAAAAAATCTCTTAAGATCTTCTATCAATGTATCATAAATTATGAAATTTCTTAATAAAAAAATATCTTAATAAAAATTTATGAAGCCTTGTGGATTCCAGCCAAAACATCCCATATTTCCTTTGTAGTCTTATATTTCCATATATGAGTCAATTGCAAAGGCTTGACATTGAAGGTAATCAATGATTGTGCTTTTATTTTACTTGATTTCTATTTAAATTTTTCATCTATACTTATAGGACATTCCAATATCTTGTCGATGTGCATGTAGAACTTATAAATGCACATCAAATGCTTCATAAAAAAATGCCCATGTGCCATAGTTCTTCTCATCCAATAGATCAATGTAATGGTTGGTTGAAGATGATGCAATTGCCAAAAAAATTGATGCAATAACAACAAACAATAAGATTATTCAACAATAACAAACCTTGCGGTGGCTATAGAAAAGCAATCAACAAATGTTCTATAAGATGAAATAATAGAAGGAGGTAATATAAAGCTATGATGGAACAAAACAATACTTCTTTAATACCAACAATATATCAATTCTAATAGAAATCAAAATCAGTAGCAAGATAAGGCTTTAGCGGCAATAAGATGAAAGCAATTCATCTATAAAACTTCATCCATAAAATTTATCTAGAATTTTTGCCAAATTTTTTCATCTACATCACTTGTTCAACTAGGGCTCTAATACCATGTATTGTAAATAGAACATTATTCAAATTGAAAATATTAATGTGCTAGAATAAGAGAAGGTGACAATTTGTAGAACTTTATTATATGCTAGACAAGTCTCAACTTGTAGTACAACCAATATAATATTATTCAACACATGCCAACAAGTTTAGCATTGTGTCATGTTGAAATGATAGTAGCAAGCCTAAATTGAAGCATAAAGTCATTAGGAATATATAAGAACACATCTTGTAACTATAGTGGATGATTTTGCAATCCAAATAATAAAAAGATAAATAAAGACTATTGCCTATTCACATTTGGATGTTTGTGAATGAAAATAGAACAAAAAAAAAAAAAAAAAAAAAAAAATGAAGTTAGGAGGGGTGGATCATGAAAGGATTTATGTTTTTTTTAGATCTACCAAAGAATTGTAAGAGTTAGGATTTGATGCAACCTTGTAATTATTGATATTCTTATATTAACTTGGATAGTTTAGATAGCAAATTGAAATCAATTATTATAAGTCATAAATAATAAAAAATAAATATGTTTCTTTTGATGTTGTCCAATATCTTCTAAAGAGAATATAAACAAGAGTAATAAGATATAAATTGAGAAATATAGAAACTTAAGCAAACTATATACTATAGAGAAGAATGTTAGTAATAAACAATAAAATATATAATAAATAAAGATAGAAAAATTTTAATTAATAAAATTCATTACAATCCAATCCCAACAATGTCAATACAAGTAGTGGAGCTTAATTCATTGATTTTTGAGTTTGTGTTAAAAGAAAACAATTATCTTAATACTAATGGCGATAAAAAAAATTAAAAAAAAAAAGACATCGTAAAGTTGAACAAAGGTGAAGTAAAGTACACACGTGGCAAGGATCTACATGGCAAAGCGTTATCCAGCCATATATCGCCACGTAGGGTCGCCACGTAGGATTGCCATGTGGAAATGCGATTAGAATGTGGGCCCGCGCCTTTCCTATCACATTCGTCGTCGTCTTCTTCTTCGACTTGCTGCTCTGTATTGCTTTCTGTCTGCTTCCTCGCTCTCCTCGCACACACGCTCTTCTTACGTTCTTCTCGCTTTACTCTTGTTTAGGGTAGCGCATTTCACCCTCATTGCTCGGTGGCTTTGCATTGCCATGAGCAATCCGATTGATGCCAAGCATGCGACCATTGTAGTTCTTGGACTGACTCGGCGTCGCGTGGGTGGGGTGGTGGTTAGTTGGTGCTCTCTTGGGGTTTAAGCAGGAGGAGGAGGAGGGAGGAGGATTGCTGGCCGGATTGAGGAGGTGAATTGCGCGGAAGAGGTGGGAGAGCAGAGTTGTTGACAAGAATGCTCTTCGTGGATCCGTTAGAAGCGGTGTTCAGTTCGTTTTTGATTTCAGGGAAGGCGAATTTTTCGTAGTGGCGTCGGGAGAGCCATGTGAAGGAAAATAGAATTATGGAGCCATCTGTCTCGTCACCCGGTTCGTCAATGCCTGTGTCGCGGAGCAGCTCGGGGAGCTTTGACGCCAGTTCGGTTGGTTTTAGAGATTTGGAAGATGCGTCGCGCAGCATGGCTGGGGCTAGTGATGCCGGCCCAAGCTTCAGTTTAGGTGAGAGGTATAATCCGGGGGGAAGCTATAAAATCAATGGGAGCTATGAGGTGGCTGGGAGCGGGAGCGGTGGTGGTGGCGGTGGCGGCGGCGGCGGGAGGATGGTGAGAGGATTGGTAATTAAAGCTGCGTGTCTCATTGGAGGAGCTTTTCTCCTTCGCAAGTTGACCAAGAGCACAACTCGTTGGGACCATGCTCGCAAGGTTGCCCAATCCCTCAGCGGCGAGAAGGTTAAGAGCACACTTCTTTTGCTACAGCTTATTTGTGCGTGATTTAGAACGTCAATTGCGGGAAACCAATGTTGCTAGTAGTAAATCAGTGTTGCATATTAGGGTTGTTCTTCTTCTTTGCAAACTGGCGGATATGTTTGACTCCTCACTTTTTCATCCATGGCTTATGGGGCTACTTGACCTTTCTGTATTGCAATCTTTAATTGCAGTTTTCCACAGAGCAAGCAGCCCGAGATCCTACGACGTATTTTAATCTCAGGTATTTGGCAGCTCTCGAGAGTAGTTTTGCACTACTTCGGATTCGGAGAGTATTAGAAATTGCTACAAGATAGAGATCACGCCCGAGTATGACTTGGATTTTTTTCGTAGTATAATGTTTATGAGATATGTGAAGTAAATTAGATTTGGGTACTCAAATTACACTGAAGTATTTAAGGACCTAGAACGCTTTTGACCTACTGCATCTTGATCCATATTCATTGTGGGAGCAGATTGCTCACTTGCCCAGCCACCGTATTAGCAGATGGAGCTCGTGTCATGTATTTCGAGCAGGTACTTTGCACTTATTTGAATCAATATTTAAACGAGTTTTAGTATTATCGTTCTGTTGAGGATTTGTGCTGATGATTAAATTTTCAGTTGTTTGAAATGCACTTGAATAGTGAGGGACTTACTGTAGATTATGAGTTCCGGACACATTGACAACCTTGTGATTGCGTGTGATAACCACAGGCTTTTTGGAGGACCCCAGAAAGACCGTATCGTCAGGTATTATGCCTACATTTTAGCGTTGGACACTGGACATAGTACTGTGTATTATCTATCTAAAGGTGTTCAGGGATGACTTCAACAAACGCTCATGCTGTCAAGGATGGGTTACAGCGATCCGCCTCTAATAGTTTCTGTTGGTGGTCTTATGCAGAGATTCTACAGCATTAAGCCTTGTCCCAAGGAAATGAAATGTGACGTAGAGGTCAGTTCTGTTTCGACATTCTTCTTCCTTGCTTTTTTCAAGCTGATATTTTGCCAGTGTTAGCTTGTCGACTTTTATTTGCTTCTTGATACGGATCTATATGAGTCGGTAATGCAGGTAGGTTCATACGCTGTGCGAGATATTGAAGAATACAAAAACTTTTGTGACCGCTCCAAAGATGAAAGGCCTCAACCTGATGAGGTGCTCAAGGTAGATATATTTCAACTTGCAGTTTTGATTCAGTAGGCTTGTGCTTTTCTCAGCATCCAGTTACGAAATCCTTGTACAATCTCTCTGCGTGGAAGTAGTATTATATGTTAACATGTCAGCTGCAGGATGACATCTTGCAGGGACAAGACTCTCCTTATAATATCCCTTTTCTGCTTACATCATTGATTCTTAGTCTAAATGTTTGTAGTTGTCTTGTCCTGCTGTGGACATTTATGTTCAGCTGAATGTTTCTCTTAATCAGGAGTGTAATAGCTAGCCCAATGCTTACATGCGAATTTCAGGACATGGCAGAGCATCTGAACACTGTCTATCTTTCTGTCTGTGAACGTGGACGGCGTTGTTTGTATGAGGGGTCTACTCCTCCTGGAGGTTTTCCCAACTCCTGGGTATGTGACGCTCTCTGCTTCTAATGAAGTTTTATCGTAACAGAGCTCTCGCACGAAATTCATCATATAACCCAACTTGTGAATTTCCTCAAATTTTTGGAATTTTTCTTACTTTCTTGATCATACAATCGTCACTCTGCAAAGGTACACATAGTATTATTTAACGGAAAGACGTAAGCTTCAGTTCTTTCTGTTTGACCATTACAACGAAAAGAAAATTGCGTTTTGTTAAGAGATAAGTTCATTTCTTGTAGTATAGGACGGATATCTGATCGCTTAGGTTTTTGCAGAATGGAGCGTCCAGATGCACATCAGAATTGACCATCTACAAAAATGGGGAAGTTCATTGCTGGGACCGTGCCTACGACGATGAGGGCAATCAGGTAACCTACCGTTTCAACCTCGAAACCAATTTTAACGTGGTCAATGTAATTGCAACGGTTTTGAGCAGGTTCAACTGCCACCCATCCTCATTAGTATATGCTTCCTTGTAGGTTTGGGGCGTAAGACAAGGGCCTTACGAATTCAAGACTGCAACGTCTCCACGGATCACAACTGAAATTTAACCTTTTCAGTCGCTCTACTTCCAAGAAAATTTATGACAGCTTCTGCCTCTGCAGTCAAGAGTTAAGTTTATTCTCAAGCTGATTGCTTAAGCAAAGTTGTATAAGTAACAGTTGTGTATTGATTGTTCCTGTACATGGGTTTACAATGAATCGGAATTATCGGAACATTCCATTTTGGTTTGGGTTTGCAATGTTTTTCTCCAAAAAACTTGGATAGACTGTTCTCTCAAGATAAGTGTTGAAAATCCTTACAGCAACATAAATATGTTCTCAGGAATATGGTCCATTGTTAGTTGTACTAAACATAACATTTTGATTGGAGAAAGAACATTTTGTACATCTGTAGTCTGTAGCACCCCTCTGCCCTGTGTTTCCTTCATCATCATCGTGGAGATTAGTGTGCACTAGAATTTATTTTGGGATCATGTGCCAAAACATCTCAATAAATCCTAGACCTTCAACCGTGTTAAACTGTCCATAAATAATTTGTAATTAAAAAAAAGAAAAAAAAAAGAAAAAAAAAAGAAAACCCCACCCTCTCAATTCTACACTTTTACCAACATCTTAGTGACTTCCAACAATTGGTTGCCTGTTAGTAATTCACTTGCAAAGTTTGAGACAGCTACCAACATCTATTTCTGTAGATATGCATGGTTGACAAATGAACGAAATAAAAAGATCAAAGTCCAAGTTAGGTACTTGTTCTAAAAAACAGATTAAACTGTGAAAAACTGTTACCAACAAAACCATTAAAATTCGTTTACCATCGTAGTTGATTAAAAATAATTTTATCATGGGAGTACATACAATGTCTAATAGTGTGAGAATTTTATATACAAACAAAACACCACCCATACTGCAAAGCATAAAGTAATACTACAGTAAAATAAACCCAATATTTATCTTATCATGTTTAACACGGAGGTACCATATATCATTTTCCTAAAAAGCCCAAATTTTTAGCATGGTTGGTTATCTATCTGTGAAGAGTAAATTAAGTGAAACTTATAGATAGAATGTGATACTAACCATTTGTTGCAATGAGAAAGATGCAAGCTGCCAAAAGTTCTTTTCTAAGAACATGTTAGCATATTGAGATAATGGATCAGATTACCTTTTCATCGGTAATGCAATACGTCACAGCTGAAAAACCATATTGATAGATTTGGAGGATTTGTATTAAAATTCCTATGCCACAGAACTTATGGCTTTCTGAGCATCTTCCTAAATATATCAAAACCTTGACCAGTGTAGTGTTACAAACAGGAAGGATTGGACTGTGTAACTCAAACTGACGTCTACATTAACCACTGGGTGCACACTGAAGTCTCGTGAATCTATTCAGTGTAACACAAGGGCTTTGAAAATCAAGGACACTGAGTTGAGAGTCGAAATGAGCGGTCAGGTGTGGATATGTTCGACATTCTCAGAGCTTAACGCTTCGATTGGACTGTCGAGCAAGTCAACCTGCCAGTTACTGCATTCAATCTGAATCGCACATCACTGGGTTCGAACATCATTGCGCAATTAGCCGCACTCAGTAAGAAGGCCGCACATACAATCAAAGAGAAACCCACATCCACCTTCCAAAAGAGCCCCGCATCCAGCAAGGATATCCCCACAACCGTCGCAGCCCTCACCACAATCGAAGCATGAACCAAGAAACGACAAACTCTCACACTCTTCTAAGTTACAACAGCAACATAAGATAGAGTCGCCACCGAAGTCTCCTAGAAAATTGCCGAGGGAGTCCAACGAAAGATCACCCACAGCTGCATTTGCAACTGTGGCAGCAACATTGCCAAATCCAATAGCAAGACCCCCAACTAGCACAACACCAGCAACTTTACCAGCAGTGAACTTTTTAATGTTTAACTTTTTTCCCTGCAAAATTCAGAGCTGCGATCAGTACTAGAAGTACAAGAACAAATGTAGGTAATCTCAGAACTTTTCTTTTCTTTCCCTCTTGGAATGAACGTGTAAATGCAGGATAGGCGTGGCAACAATGAAATTCTGATATGCATTTCAAAACTTCTCACTGACCTCTTCAAAGGTCTCTACGATATATGCATGCTTACATTTTATAATCTTCCAATCACCTTTTCACTTGTCTTTTGAATTAGGCACGTGAACATGAAGGAGATAAACATCATGTTCAAAGAAGAACATTAAGATCTCGACAAGACCACATTCATAAAGGAATAAGAAAAATACCTTTTTCCGTTCATTCTGAAACTCTTGGTACTTCTCCGGGGTTGTCTCAAAGCCTATCATCCGAGTGTACTCACAGGGCATACCTGTTGCTAAACTTAAGTTAACAGCCTGCCACAAGCAACCACGATGAAATCAGAAATACCTTTCCCGCAGAAGGGTAGCAGTAATAATTATGTAGCGTAACAAAACGGAATGAGGGGAGTTGAAATACACTTCACACTTACTTCTTGTTGTCTACGTTTGTCTCCATATAACCATGCTTGACCAGTAAGAAGATCAAGCTGCTGCTTTGCGAAAACCTGAACAGAAGGCTTAGATAAGAATTTCGAAGGCTTTTAGAATATCAAAGGACTTATAAGAATGCGAACATTCACAGCACGATTAGATCATGCACGTAATGTCGGGATTCAATCCCGGCTAAAACATGAGTATAAATCACCGACATACAATTCTCTTGACTTTACCTTACTTAGAGGGACCTTTGATGTTTTCCTACTTGGAACCTCAGTTTTCCACGTGCTTTGATCAGGCATAAGGCCAAAGAAGGATATAGTATCAGGAAAACTGCCATGAAACTTTCCAGAAACTACCAAAGGGTTGCCGCAAAATAAATCTGGTATTGCAAATGGATACACCTGAAAAACCCAACGTTTCATTCATTTGTGCTTACGGAAAGAAGTAGCCAACGTATCCGTCTCACAACCTTGTGAAATTGCTGTCTCCATAGTTCCAAACAGAAAATCAAAAATACGAAACTGTCTAAGTTCAACAAGAGATTAACTTTGGATGCCAGCAGACCAGAACTTGCTTATATCAATCTGAAACAAGGTACAGACAGTCCAAGTTAAATTAACCAGTTCCAGTACGGTTTACTAAAGGCACTCCCCAGGAAAACATTTCTTGCTCCAGTTGATTAATATAGTCCTAGAAAATTATAGGATAAATGGGGTACCTCGCAACCATCCGGTAGCCCTGCTAAACCAATATTAGTGAGAACTGGCGTAGCTGCAGCAACCAGCATACGTTCCATTTGTCCCCGGAGTTTACCTGGACATTGTATGAAATCTATCAATACGTCTGCTTCCCGCTTTCATAGAATATCAAGAATTGAGGATGTGCGTTCATACTGATCTGGTGCGTTAAAATATACTGATCCACACCAGTACAGACCAGAAGCACAAAACTGAGAAAGAAACATACACGATTAGCATACCCGATGCAAAGGCTACGTCACTTAAGCCACGGCCAATAACAGCAAGCATTTTCAGAAAGTAATAGTTGCAGTAGTGACCTGCAAAATGCGAAGGACATAATCAATTTCCAGGCGAAGTAAACTCTTATAAGTTGCAACATTAGTCCTAACAAGCAATAGAATGTTGCTCTTGATTGGAGTGCTCATGAGTAAACAATATTAAAAGCCTTCGCCGATGCTTTTCAAGGGTCATTTACTAACATAACCTGTTCTAAAGAGCTCGTAACTTAAATGAATAACCAAAAGACCTCGCTATGAATCCAGTGAGGAGTTACCACTCAAGAGAAACTTGAACAATATAGTCGAAGGTAAAATTCGTTTTTCAGAACTTTGCAAGAGGACCACCTACCTATTCCAAATGTGGAAATACGAGGTGCCCTTGCACCTAGTTCGACAATACGTGATTGCATAGTGAGACAGATATTCTTCTCATTATCGACAGCTCCATCTGTGATCAAGAAGACGTAGGGAACTGCCCCTGGAAAATTCTCAACAAGCTTGAATGCCTGCATGTCATACCGCAAATGGATGATCAGACCTGTGGTTAATGTTGATGAAATCAATCTGCTCTTCCTATGCATGTGCCCCTAAAAAATCAAGGACAAATGCGCTCGATCCAAAGAAGATATAAAACCATATGTATGGTGCAAAATCTTCCACTGAATATGTTATCACCAGCAAACAGTCGCGACGAGGACGTACTTGTTGAAGAGGACTGAGAATGTCAGTGCCACCTCTGGCTTTGCACTTCTCCGTTGCCCACTCACGAGCCCGAAGGATGGAAGCACTATTTGCGCGCTCCATTTGAGAAGAAAACAAGGCGGTCTCATGGTCGAAAGCAATAATATTAAAAGAGTCTTCTGGTTTGAGGGATTCCAGCCCAGAGTACAGAGCCTGCAAGGCATCGTTTAGTGGATCACCATACATGCTGCCACTCCTGTCCAATAAGAAGACTACAGCCCTTTGAAATACCTGTGATCAGACACAACAGTATTTTAGAACTTAAAGCATAACGTACTAGGATCACTACAAGATCAAGAAGGAAAGCAATGAATAAAGAATAGTTTCATCGTAATCTGTAGCATAAACACCATCGAATAATAATAATAATAATCATCATCATCATCATCATCATCATCATTAAGTAAAGAAATAAATGAAAACAAAATAAAACAGCATAAAATCAGAGCACGATGAAAGAAAGATGATGTGCAAGTCGCAAAGACTTGACAAGAGACCATAAGACATGAAAAAAGGAACCCCTGCGGCAAATCATCTACCTTTATATTTACACCGTCCAAATGCCCAACAACTCAATTTGCAATTCAAAACCGAATGAAAAAATTACCGTGATCTTGCTTGGATCTGGTGGAGATATTGAAAGGCAAAACGACCCTCGATTGTCAGATTCACCAGGTTCCGGGTCTTGAAAAATCAAATTTGGGAATATTCCATCGGACCACACCTGCTGGCGAACATGTGAGCCTCCGATACAACTAAATCATACTCTGAGAATGCCAGGATTGAACATACTTTGAACATGCTTGAGACCAGCGACCATCCCGCCTCAAAATATGAAACACATGATCAGATTGAAATACAAAACCACCAGAAAAAGGAATGCTGCTTACTTGGTATGATGCAACGAAATCTTGATTCTTCCCATCCGTTGCATCACCGTTGCTCTCATTCTCAAACGCTACTATACCAGGTTCTCTAAAGGTCTCCTGAAGCATGATCAGTAGGAAGGAAATAGGTCATTCCAAAGCAAATTGCAAAGTAAATATGAAGAACAACTGGCTATACAAAACCTTACACCGAATAAGCATACTGTTTCAGGACGCTGCAACGGTCTGTCTGCAATACACGAACCGTTAAAACCAAAAAGGTCATTGACAGCGACAACATGATGCAGTTGTTGTGGTGAAGGCATAACACGACAAAATTCATCTTATGCAGAGAAAGCAGACGAAACTGATCCTTAAACCAAATAAGCAAAAAGTACCCACCTTCAATTGATTGCCAAATGAACCAACTTCTACAGTATCGTTTGTCCCTGTATTGATCATACATTTGACTTTTGTGATAGAAGCCAAATTTGTTCCTAAAGGCACGATGTCCTCAGGAAATACAAATGAAACTCTCAATGAATATAATCCACTTTCAAATGTCATAGCTTGAAACCATGTAATTTTCAGTTCCAATTTTGTGCCACCCTCCACCTGCAAAGATGCTTGTAAGTGCGACCACACAAATAGATAATATAAAAAATTAATACAAAAATAATTTATACCGTTAATGAAGTCAATATGCCAAAAAATTTCCATTCTTTGATACCCCCGGTATTTTACGAGCTCGAAAATGCACCAACTTTACACGGTAAAATCCATACAACACATACTAAAAAATAACTGGTCGTGCTTAACCAATTTTTAAGGTACAAATATAATGAGACAAAAATACAATACCAAAGACCTCATGTGTGCATTAAACAAACGAAAGAGAAGAGCTCACTTGTGGAAGATTCAGTCGGAAAAGTTCGGGATTATAAGTGCCAGGGTCATTTATTTGTGCATTTGGACTACCTCTTGCACCATAGCTAGCAGCTTCATCACTCGGAACAACTACCGTAGTGTAGAATCGGCCATGGCCCATGTCAATCTCGACACTTGATACTGTACCCTGCCACACAAGTTATCGATGAATTGGGTGCCAACCACACGCAATAAGCTGATGAGCTAGCCGTAATTCTAGAAATCACAACCCTCAGTGAGCTTCTTTCCCAAAATGGAGTAAAAAGTTGGCCGTCAATTCATTTTCCAGATTTTTTTAAAGATTCCATCTGCCTGATATCACACAAACCGTGTTGTTTCTGTGAAAGCCAATTCAAATAGCAATAGCACCAAAACTAATCCACGGAGGAAAAATATAACTAATTTGCCTTCCATTTGTCGCTGTTTCTAGAAGCTGTAAGAATCCTACATACTTGCATTACAGCCTATTTCTTAGCAGAAAGCACATACCTGGTGGTCCATGGGGAGAGCAAGAAGGCAATCACAACTTGCTTGACTTCGCACGCAATTTAAGTTCCATCTACTCTTTGCGGTAACAAAACCTGTGCTGATATGACATGCAACATCCAGCTCAATCATTTCTAGACTGAGAGGGACCAAAGCAGGTAGAGGAGGGGCATCTGCTCGAAATGTTGGCGGGTGTAGACTGCCGTGTGCATTATCCACTTTGGGATTACCAAATGTATTCAGATCTGTAATAATGGCATAAATCATAGGACAAGTGGGCAATCCTTTCATCTTTTTCTTCTCAGGCATGGTCGGTATTGTAGAGTGCTTTGGAGGCCCCAAAGATGGAGCACTAACACCACCGCCATGGCGCAGCTGTTGACTCAGAATTTGGCCGGCTGCTATCGATGTCACAAACCCAGAACCTGAATCCATTTCTGCGGAACAAGATCCTAGACAAAAAGAGCCACGTCACTCTCGTGTCCTATAGAAGGAAGTTCAAGGAATTTACAGGAACGTAATTATCATTTAAGGTGAGACATTGAAAGACTATCACGTTCTCCAACATCCGCATTATCCTGTCATGACGACACTCGCAGAAATTCACTCGCGAGGACTCTAAGGCACCCATCCTCTTGCGATATGATCAATCGGCAAACAATCAAATGGACTCCCAGAGAAATTGTGGTGGTACGAAAAAAATAATAATAAAGCTAAAAAGAAAATTAGATGAAACTGTACGAACTTACCATAATTAGAAAATCTGAACCAACTAGCGAAAGAACCAAAACACGATACTTTACAGAGAGAGTGTATACTAAAAGTATGCACAAGTTCCAAATGCAATAACCTCCTATATTTCCGTATCGAGTGCACGGCATTCATTAATCCATGCATTCTTTACTTCACCAATGTCTCTTTCAACCTTGATCTTATCAGATTACGCAAACTACTTGTCTCATTAAATGACAACAACATAAGCATTCACCATGGTAACCACATTGTATCAACTCAAAGCAGGATTTCGAAACCACTAAAAACAGTTCTGTGAATGATTCGACACGCGCAGAACTGAGAAAATAAGGAGGACTGAGTTGCACCGTGATTATACAGCGGTCGTGGAAGGCACTTAATTAGCTCCGCACGGCACTAAAATCAGAAAGTAAAACGCAGATACATAAATCTATCTGCACATTCAATCGTGAGAGAATATCGGTCTCCATGTGGTTATATAAATTGATGAAATAGAAAAACCATTTCCAAGTCAGAGCCTCCCTGCGCAAATTATCTATCTATTCTGCTTGCACTGATTCGCTTCTTCGAATGAGGAGATAAGATCATTGGCAGTCAAGAACGTAACGGCACTGTCGGAATCTCCGTCCAGCTCAATTGATGAACAAAAACTGAATATAAAATCCCAGGAAACGAACGCAATAAACCTAAACTCAAGTTCTTTTCAGAGTGAACAACCTTTCAAGCACAAGTAATTTTTCCTTATAGCAATACTTCCCCGCAGCGTTCTGATTCTCTTTCTCTCACAAGCTAAACCAAATCGTTATAGATGACTCGAGTACCAACAACTAACAGCTATTTTGAAAATATAATGACACACACACCCTCTCTCTCTCTCTCTCGCTCCGAACAGCCCAATTCACTACATTTACTACACACACGCATCTATTTCCTCGTTTCTGACAACACTACCCGACAGCGCTGTACGATTCTAATGTCGTCGCCAGCGGAGACAACACTGACAAGAGCACTTTACTTTCCAAACGAACTCTCTACGCAAACCGAAAATTCCACAACGTGCACCCTACACAAGCACCTACTCCTTGCCGACCTTCGTATTGCAGAAAATAAGCTTCGCCTATCTCCAAAACGTCCACAAAGGATCTAGCCTAAAAAAACTTTACACCCTTCTGCACACATAAAAGTCCATTGTCACAGCAGACCATAACGCAAACTCTTTCCACCACCACGTCCTAATTCTGACGTCTTTCAATGATCCCTCCTCCGCTTCTTTCCCCAACCATTGCCTGCGGCAAACGCCGCATGTACCATCTCCAATCTGTCTCATTCTATGAAATGAGTGACGCACACACGCTGATTGACTAGCGAAAATAACGTACACCGCCAATGACTGCGATTACGGTGCTGACCAAAACTGGCTGCAAATAATCCCATTCACAGCTGCCGCATCTCCACTAACGGCTACAATGGCCACATCCGAGATCCGCATTGCAGTGCAGCGACGACTCCATCCCCGACGGACAGCACCTCATTCATCCACAATCGGTATACGAAAGCTCATTCGCGGATGATTCTCATCGCCTGCATGGAGTAGAATACAAGAGGTGTGGATAAAAATACTACAATTAAATATATTTCTATTTCATTCGAAGAAATATAAAAACCTGTAACTGATTTGGATAATATTATATAAAATAGGCTTAAGCAGTTGCATATTCTTTCACGCGTCACATGCTATTTGATTTACTGGAAAGTTTTGGACATAAATATCTGATCCGAGACCACGAACGATTACGACTCCTCATGGGATAACTTTTGTGTATTGATATAGTCAGATATTTGTGAAATGATCCACTTCCATGTGTATATATACGTAAAGAAGCATGACACCAATAACTTATGGAATACGTAAGGACGTTGCAATTTTTGCTGTTGCAGGGAAATAATATCATTTGGTTTGATTGTTGATGCTCCTCGCTCAGTGTGCAAACCGTTCTACGAACTGTTGTACTTTGTTTTTATTTTTATTTTTATTTTTGTTTTCTTTTTTGCGAACCAATTCTAGTTTCGGGGACTTGGATCCCCAAACATTTCACACGACGAATGCAGAGTGGGCGTGAGCCGGTGTCCCGAAAGCTATATCGATCGGCAACGAAAGTCTTCTCAGAGGAAATTATTGCAGCTCATCACAGCCAGACTTATTGTAGTAACAGCAGCAGTAGTCGTGGTATACGTTAGAAATGAGACGGTAAGGAAGATAAAGCAAGTCAGTTCGCTCATGTTCATATACAATAATGAAGGTCCTTTGGATTGAGATTGTGAAGTCTCAGTTTCTGTCACGGACTGCAGAAATTTCCCCTATTACCTACCAAAGAGAGTCTTTGCCAACCATGCTAAGTCTTTTCTGAAAGGGCTGAAGCTCTCCGTGGTCGTCTCTTGTTGTTGTTGTTGTCGTCCTTCTTCTGAAATAGACTCCTGCTGCTGCTGCTGCTGCTTCTTTCTTGTGAGCTGCTCCTCTGTGGTGGCAGTTTCGGCACGGCTGGTCGTCGCTGCTGCAGTTCTATTGTTCCTTACGGGCTGTCATCACAAACAGAATAGTGATGAATCTACGTGAAGATAGTAAAATGCACATAAAAAAGAAAGGCGACAAACTCAGTTTTAAGACTCAGTACTGGCTTGTACATTGGGAGAAAAAGAACTGGCAGTGGTTTTTATCATGGCTCCACTAGGCGACTTCCCACGGGCAGTGGTTAGTGGGACACGGACCTTGACATTGGAAAAGGACTTCAGATAGTAGTCAGATAATGTAAGTGAAAACGACATGGGAATCAATGTAGACAAAACCAGTCTGCGGATGGTGAAAAACGAGTGTCACCATGCGGGAACCGATTAAGAACTTCAAATACAATCGCTGCTACTATGTATAATCAGGTAAAGTGTTTAAAAAAATAAATTATATTTTCCTAAGCACGGTTGATTTTACAACACGGCTATGCGAGAAGTGCATTGCAGTAATTCCCACATCATCAAGCATGGATCACCTCTATGCATCATTGGAGGTCGTCTTTTGCGTCTTTGTGCTCGTCCCTCTCACCTCCTTGGCAGGTGGTGCAGCGGGTTTGGAAGGTGGTGCAGCGGGTTTGGAAGGTGGTGCAGCAGGTTTGGAAGGTGGTGCAGCAAATTTGGAAGGAGGTGCAGCGGACTCAGCAGGAGGTGCAGCGGACTCAGCAGGTGGTGCAGCGGATTTAGCAGGCTCGGCAGTGGCAGCGAGAGCCGCGTCGACAACAGGAATTTCAACACCAGTAGAAGCACCTTCCTTTTTGTCTGCCACTCCGTTTGTCTTGCCATTGGAAGAGACAGAGTCCACAGTCCCTTCTACTGCTTTTGCTGCCGTCAATCCGGCGTTGAGGGCACCTGCAGCAGCAGAGGCTACCACATCCGCCACTGCATCAGCTGGACTACTTGCTTCGATATCATCACTCACTGGTTCCTCACCAGCAGGTTGAGCATCAACGTCATCTATGGACTCCGGTTGTGGCTCCTCCCACGGTTCAGAGAGCAAAAGTGGTCCTGCTCCAGCTACCGTTTCCAGAACGCCGTTTGATCCAGGTTGCCATTCCACCGTTTCTTCTTGATCGGACACCAGAATGTATTTATATTCGATCTTCTTACCTTCAGGCACATCCTGTCATCGAAACGAGCCCATAGCCACAGATATGAATTGGCGTGTAAACACAAGGGTTTCATGATTTTGTTGTGATGATTCTGAAGCAGTCATAAAGAAAAGGATGTCCTTACCAAATCAGCAGTCCACAGATGACCTTCAGACCAATTCAAAGGTACAGCCGCACTTGGGTCCCAGTTACCGAATTGAGGATCGCTACCAACAACTTTGAATTGCTGTCCGAAGTGGCACTCTCGTTGAAGCTCGAATTTCACTTTCACTGTAGGACCTGAGGAACACAGAAACCGGTTATCAAGTCCAAAACTCTTGTGCATTTTGTTTCTCAAACAAGGACACAACCATCCGTTGATCTCGTTAGAAATAGTACGGACAGAATTCCTACATAGAATTTCCTACCAGATTAAATGACGCTATACGTGAGTTACCCAGACTTGAACAAAAAATTTGCCCAAGATGCATGGCCACTCTCGGATTTTTAGCTTCCAATTGAACTCGAATACATAATCTATCAGAGATTTAAAGGGGCCTTCACAATTTTCGCATTCTGAGATTACCTTCAAAATCCGGTTCTCCAGCACTGGTATGCTCTACTTGCAGGGGCTCTTGAATAACAGGTGTTGTCTCCGCAACTAGGTCATCCTACATGAAAAGAGGCACGCAAGGATCAGGCAACCTGTTATATATAAAACCCTTAATCGTTAAGTACATTTGGATGGTGACCTAAGCAGAGTGGATTGGGGCAGCAATTTCCACGACTAACTTAAAGAGTTGAAAGGCAGAAGCTTACAACCTCGGGTAGAGCTGATGCTCTGAAAAATCGTTTTGGCGCCGCCTTAACCAAAGGTACTTTCAGCCCTACCACCCTCGAAAACACTCCAGCTTGGGTACTCAGACTGGCTTGCGGTCTTTTCCCTCTGAAAATCCTCTCTGGATCGACCACATGGCCTTCATGCAAGCACACAACACGAAATGGCTTGACGATTGCTGCCATGGCCACCATCCTTGCTTCCTCCTCCCGGCCTGACGATCAACAGTCTTAAAAATCCCCACAGGGCTTAAGAGTGACAAAACTTACAAAATCGTAGTGGAGGAGGCGGCTGACTAGATTGTCGATCAATACCTGCCTGGCTCAAAGTTCCCTCCGCCCACTTACCTCGAGTTTGTCAGTCCAAACAAAACTCAACTTGACCTCCAAAACTAGCTCTCCGTAGATCCACTGCCCTCAACTAAGGCTGCCGCAAAATCGAGATCCGGAAGACTCAACGAAGAATCTGTGCTAAAATCGGCTACGCACAAGGCTCCACTTGTCCCAGATAGATTTTTCAAGAAATATGAACTATATTAAACTCTGGGAACGGATGGATGGTGAAAAAGCATCCCAAAAGATGCACGGAGGCATTGCCATGGAACTGTCGTTTGCATGGATGAACTTCTCCAAATATCTGTTTTCGGCCAGGGCTTTAGAGTTTGAGTTTGGACCGGTAAATCTGGTTTTGCAATCCAGACGTATATCAATGCTGTCTAGGTTAAACAAGCTTGCTTCTCTGTCAGCAGTGTTGTGCGATAAGTATCCCTGAATTCAACTATGGTTGGCACGGATTTATCAAAATCCTTGATCTTGATTCATGAAACGAGTGATCTATGTGTCCATCGTTTCAATGTCGCACATGCAGTCTCATGGAATGATTAAAAGGTGGAAGGTCACTTTGAAAAATAAAGAACACCAACAACCCTCCTTCCCGTGTTGCTTGCTGTTCACATCCAGAACCGGAGATCAGTTTAGCTTTGCGGTCTGAAGAATCAGAATTCTGCGGCCTTGCTTCTGCAAACACCTCAAGTTACACGTGATCCCATATTATTTCTTTTGGCGAATGATGCATAAAATCATGATTTCTCCTGAATTACTCAGCTGTTGCACCGAATCTAACACTCGTTAAAGGAGCTACCAAAGAAAGAGACATATCACCACAGCTATGGCAATACTTTCTACACAAGCTTTATCATATGCCGTGTTCGAAGTGCAGATGTCGTGCACAGCAAAAGCACAATCACATTCTCAATTTCAATGATCATTGGATTCATACTTTTCATTGGAAGCATGAAAATTGCCCAGTGAACTGCATCGAAACTGTGGCTCTTGCTCCACGTTTACAAGAGTGGATTTCCACATGCTCAAATCGTAACAGCTGATTCCTTCGTAGACCTCCATGACAATTAGCGGAGGTTGAATCCAATATCCTTGTACTGAAACAAAGGTCAAAATTCGCAACATAATCGTTACTTGCTTCAATAAGTGAGATCACGAGCTGACGAATTCATTGAAACTTATTCTTGCAGTTTGGTTTGACAGTTTCCATGGTTTCGTTCATTTATTACGACACTACAACTAAAGTCGTAGTGAAGGCATCTTCTCCAATCTCCACGTGCGCCGTACTTCAAATTTCGATATGAGTGTGAGTCGCACCTTGAGCAGAACCCTTTCATGCCCAAAATTTCTTTTGAATTCTTAGCTAAAAAGATGTGGTTCGGTTTGACTTAAATAGAATTAGAGACCATGTGCAAAGAGTGCTAGATTGGAAGGTATGAGGAAGTGAGAGGATAAGGAAGTGACTAAGCAAAGAAGGGATACTATATATATATATATATATATATATATAAGAGTTATGCATGATATTAATGTAGTCATGTTACTTATTTTATTGATTGAGACAATATTATTTATACAATGTCATGTAGTAATATAGCCATTAGGTGAAAGAAAAAAGGAAATATTTTAGTGTAGAAGAGCTTAGTAGAAAGATATAGTAGAAAAACAATGATAAATAATAGGAAGATAGTAAAAACTTTAGTCTTAATGCTGCCTTTTTGTAGAAGAGACTTCTATTTATTTTGTAGGAGCATAAACAAGCAATATCAAAGTAAATGACATAAGTAGTTAATATAGACATGTTTAAAAGAAGATTAAGAATAGGTTTTTAGCAAAAATTACCATAAAATATAAAGAATTGATATGCAGAGAGAACTAGTTGTGAACCAAGGTTGAAATCAGACCCCAAGGTAAAAAACAACATACACCTATAGCAACTCCAAGGTTCTTTGGTCATTTTGAGGGTAGGATTTGAAAGCAGACTTATGAAAAGATTTTGGAGAGTTGATTTTATGTGTTTTGAAGGTATATTGAGATTTTGAAAGCTTTTCAAAGTGAAAGATGTATTTAGTGGATTTGGATTTTAAGAAATAAAAAGAAGTTTTATAAATTTGATGATTTTATGAATTTTATAGCTTATTTATAAGAAAATATTTTTTTAATTTATTATTGTGCTTGTTGTAAATATGTGCTAGAAATTTAATATCAATTAAGTAGTTAGATTGAAGGTAATGAGAGTTTTTGTAGATTATGGTCTTAGATAATTAAAATTTAGGATCATTGAGGATTTTTGATTAAAGGAAAAATTAGAAACAAAAATTTAGACTTAAATACCTACATACTAAGAAATTTTGGAGCAATTGAATTATTCAACATGGAAAAATCTTTATTGGAAGATCAACATTCAAGTTGGAAAAAAAAAAGCATCCAATATCCAAGAGGTTTTGGAAGCTTTTCTTTCAATTGCTAAGTTTGACTCTTTTCAAAATTTGTATGATTATAAATTGCTTAAGGATTAAAATCGAAGTGAAATTTTAGTCAAGATTTAAAATAAAAAAAAACTAATCAATATTTATTGAGGTTTCAAAACAACTATAGTAATTAATTAAGATTTATTTAAGATTTTCTTGGATTTGTTTAAGATTTAGTTAAGATTTAGGATTTGATTAAGATTTGACTAAGATTTAATTAAGATTTTATTAGGATTTAATTAGGACTTGATTAAAATTTGGTCTAAGATTTAATTAAGATTTTATTAGGATTTAATTAGGACTTGATTAAAATTTGGTCTAAGATTAAGATTTAGGATTTGATTAAGGTTTTATTAGGATTTTATTAGAATTTGATCTAAAATTTTATTAGGTTTTAATTAGGATTTGATTTAGAATTAGAATTTAAGATTTTATTAGGAATTATTAAGATTTGATTAGGATTTATTTAGGATTTTTTAAAGATTTAATTAATATTTGGTATAGAATTTAGATTTAAGATTTTATTAGAATTTATTAGAATTTATTAGAATTTATGAAAATTTATTTAGAATTTTTTTAGGATTGATTTAATATTTTATTAGGATTTGATTAAGATTTGATTAAGATTTATTATGATTTGTTTGAGATTGGTTTAGTATTTCATTAGGATTTAATTAGGATTTATTTAAGATTTGTTGAAGATTACATAAGAATTTTTTTAGGATTCAATTAGGATTTTTATTTTTAATATTTTTTTAAAAATATTTTGATATTATTTTAGGATTTTTTTATTATATCTTTTCTTTTGAGATTAATTTTTGATTTTTTTATATTTTTATTTTAAGTTCTTTAAGACTTCTTTTTGGATTTAATTAAAGATTAATTAGTATTATTTTAATTTAATTAGAGTTTGTTTAGGATTCTATTAGAATTCTTAGGATCTTCTTCTTGTAAGTTCTATTTTACCTTCTACAATAAGGTGCTTGGTACATTTTCAAGCAAACTTTGCAAAACACAACAATGGTTTTGTAATCTATGTTATATAAACTTAATTTAGTGATTAAGTTTAGTTCATTATTTAATCCTATAGAAATAGAATTAATATTAGTTCATCCAACACTTCCCTTTATCATGGACCTATTTCTTTTTTCTTTTTTTTTTATTAGTCCCATCATAGTTTTATAGATACTATTGTTAATTTAATACAAAGAGAAGAATTTCAATGTCGTACTCACTTCCCAATTCTTCAATGGAGGTGGATCTCTTATTGTTGTTGTTGTTGTTGTTATTGTATATATATATATATATATATATATATATAATTCTTATTTTTGGTAATATAATGCTCATATTTTTTTTATTGTTTTAGAATACTATTAGGATTTTGGATTTGATTATGTTTGCACCTTTGCAATTTGGAAGTTCATATGTTGATAATTCTTCAAATTCTGCTTCTTCTTATTTAGAGATTTATAACTTTGCTTTAGAGTCCTTTAATATTCTAGATGCCGCAAAAAAAATTAGGTTTTTACAATTTTAGTTCTTTTTTTGTCAATTTGTCTAAGCTTCACTCTTTTGTTTGTATTTTTCAAGCTCAATTCTTTTTTTTGTTGTTCCTCTAATATTGATTGGTTTTACTTTTGTTGCTACTACTTCAATAATTCTATACAATGTCTATCCTTCATTGACAATTAAGGTGACCAAGTCAAAGATTGTTCTTCTTTTTACTTGTTATCAATTACAGTTAACAAGAAATTGAGAGCCAAAGCTATTGAAAATAATTTGATTGAAGAGGTGGTGGTGGAATTAAGGGCAAAGACTAGTTTTTTAAGCAAATTATTTATGAAGGCAAGTGAAACTATAATTTGGTCTAAATTAGTTTTGAATGCAAAAGATGTAAGTAATTTATACTAGCTATTGTTTTTTTCTATAAGTTGTTTGTAGAGCTTAGAAGAAATGGATAGAAAATCAAGATTTATAAGATGCCTATGATAAAAAAGAGTATGAGAGAGGATTAGTAGTTGTTTGTAGATTTTGATGGATTGTCTTTTGAATAGTACTACAAGATTGTGTATAAAGAAGAAATAAAAGTATTATAGGATCTATATTAGAAATTAAGAAAAAATAATTTTGAAAATGGAGTTTAGATAGTTTACATTTTGTACTTCTTGTGTGGAGGCTCTACTATATTCTTGTAGTCATGTAAATTGATACAATGTCAATTTTTTTTTGAATAAGCCTTGACAAAAATACTTTGTAAATAAATCAATGAGTTCTTCCATTAATGATACATACTTGAGTTGAATGTCTTTTGTGCCGATTTTTTTTTGTATAATAAAAAATTACTGCAATTTATTTTATATGTAGTGTAATTTGTGAATTTGTTGCCATCTTCATAGAAGATTCATTATCATAGTTGATTACCATTGATTTGGTTATCTTTATGCCTAGATTGTGATGAAGCATCCCTAGTCCAAAGGATTTGTAAGATGTTGTAGACATTTTTATATATTTAGCTTCAAAGAAAGATAGCACAATTAAATGTTATTTTTCTGATAGCCATGTGTTTGGACTCTTTCTTAGGAAAAAAATAAATCATGTTGTCAATTTCACTCCTTCCAAGTCCTATATTTAATTACTATCTATAGATCATAAGATATTTTGTGCTAAATTCTTTTTATATAAAATCATGT